TGGGATTACAGGCACGCACCACCATACCCAGCTAATTTTTTGTATTTTTAATAGAGACGGGGTTTCACCATGTTGACCAGGATGGTCTCGATCTCTTGACCTCGTGATCCACCCGCCTCGGCCTCCCAAAGTGCTGGGATTACAGGCTTGAGCCACCGCGCCCGGCCAGAAATCCCCACTTCTAACTTGCTACTGGGCACCTGTATTTAATTAGAGGGAATCTCAGGACATGAACTCCGACTGTCCTAAGCCAATCATGCTAACCTCATTTTTCTTTGTTGGTGGTGACCAACAAAGTGGTGGGAATGTGATTAAGTTCTAGCCTGTGAGACATTAAAAATTGTACTGGAATCTCCCCGGAAAGACTGTCTTAAATAAATGAGAAATTGCCAGGCACAGTGGCTCACAACTGTAATCCCAACACTTTGGGGAGGCCAAGGCAGGTGGATCCTTTGAGCTCAGGAGTTACAGACCAGCTGAGCAACATAGGGAGATCTCATCTCTACAAAAAGTACAAAAATTAGCCAGACACAGTGGTGTGCACCTGTAGCTCCAGCTACTCAGGAGGCTGAGGTTGGAGGATCGCTTCAGTTTGAGAGGCTGAGGCAGTGAGGCAAGATCACACTGCTGCACTCCACCTAGGGTGACAGACGAGTGAGACACTGAATCAATCAATCAATGGGAAAGCTTCTCCCAGCCTGGGCAACATAGTGACCCCATCTTTACCAAAAAAAAAAATTAAAATTAAAAATTAGCTGGGCAAGGTGGCACGCACCTGAAGTCCTAGCTACCCAGGAGACTGAGGCAGGAGGATCACTTGAGCCCAGGAATTCAAGACTGCAGTGAGCCGTGACTGTCCTACTACACTCCAGCCTGGGTGACAGAAAAAGACCCTGTCTTTAAAAAAAAGAGGAAATCATCTTAAAGAGTAAGCCCTTTTGCCCCAACTCCTTTCCTTCCTGCTAAGGGACTCAGTCTGGTGAAAACATGGTGCTGGACTCTGCAGCAGCCATACTACTACTGGGAGGAAATTTATCACCCACACACTGAAGAAAAGCAAGGCAGAAAGATGGACAGGAGCCTGGGTCCTTGACCAATCCTAGAACTACTTACCTCTGAAAATCTTAGGTAAAAGTGTGTTCTTATGTGAAAAATTAGTTATTAATGTTTAAGCTACTATCATCTGCATTCTAATACTTGAAAGTGAGAGCATCCTGACAAATACTAGTATTAAGTCTTGAATTAAGATTAACCATAATCTCTGAATGTAGACTAAGTAAACAGCCAATATTTATTTTAAGTGTATAAATAAAGAGTAAGCATAAACATAAACCAGGATAAAATACAGACTACTTTATAAGTCTGTGGTTACCTAACAAAGGACATATGCAATCTAGAGTAATAAAAGATGATATAAGTACAAAACCTAGATGCCATTTCAATGTCTATCTTTAAACTTCAGTAGACTGATTTGGTTACTGTAACCAACTCCTACTATTAGTCCAATGATAAATGTAACACTACACATTCTTTACCACTATTAAAGCAGAGTACATAACAAACAATAAATAAAAGAAATAAAGAAATCAAGGAGTTTGATTCATTTGATTCACTCAAAGGCTTTTAAGTCTAGGCATGATGGCTCATGCCTGCAATCCCAGCACTTTGGGAGGCCAAGGCAGGCAGATCACTTGAACTCAGGAGTTTGAAACCAACCTGGGCAACACGGCAAAACCCTGTCTCTACAAACACACAAAAATTAGCTGGGTGGTGGTGTGCCCCTATGGTCCCAGCTACCTGGGAGACAAAGGTGGGAGGATGACTTTAGCCTGGGAGGCAGAAGTTGCAATGAGCCAAGACTGTGCCACTGTACTCCAGCCTGGGTGGGAGAGCCACAACTGTCTCCAAAAAACAGGAGGGGAGGGGAGGGGAGGGGAGGGGAGAAGGGAAGAGAGAGGAGAAGGTAGGAGAGAGAGAAGGGAGAGGAGGACAGAAGAGAGAGGAGGGGAGAAGGGAGGAAGGATACATTATCTTTCAGATGTATTGAATTTGGCATACCCGTGCTATAGCCAATAAGGAGTACACATGTATACATACACACACAACCCTGATGAAAAGAAAAGAAGGATGGATGTTAAGACAGATTTGGGCCAGGTGTGGTGGCTCACACTTATAATCCTAGCACTTTGGGAGGCTAAGGCAAGCAGATCACTTGAGGCCAAGAGTTTGACACCAGCCTGGCCAAAACTGTGAAACCCTGTCTCTACTAAAATTACAAAAAATAAGCCAGGCATAATGGCACATGCCTGTAAACACAGCTACTCAGGAGGCTGAGGAAAGAGAATCGCTTGAACCCGGGAGACAGAGGTTGCAGTGAGCCAAGATTGTGCCACTGCACTCCAGCCTGGGAGATACAGCAAGACTCTGTCTAAAAAAAAAAAAAGACGAGATTTGAGAGTTCCGAGCATTACAGGCAGAATCTGAAGTCACACACAGATGAGACAGCTAAGGGGAGTGAAGATAGAAAAGAATCAAAGATACAAAATAAAGGGCAGAGAGGAGATAACCAAAATGACTAAGGAGTGGTCAGAATGTAAGGAGGAAGGCCAGGTCCAGTGGCTCACACCTGTAATCCCAGCACTTTGGGAGGCCAAGGCAATCACAAGGTCAAGAGTTCGAGATCAGCCTGGCCAATATGGTGAAACCCCATCTCTACTAAAAATACAAAAATTAGCCAGGAGTGGTGGTGGGCACCTGTACTCCCAGCTACTCAGGAGGCTGAGGCAGGAGAATCGCTTGAACCCAGAAGGCGGAGGTTGCAGTGAGCCAAGACCGTGCCATTGTACTCCAGCCTGGGCGACAGAGCAAGACTCTGTCTCAAAAAAAAAAAAAAAAAAAAATACACATATATATACATATATATGGAAGAAAACCAGAAGAGAGAGGTATTACAAATATGAAAGAAAAATCAAGTTAATCAAAGTTCAAGGACAGGAGTCAACAACCACATTAAATACATACATGACCAGAGATCAATTAAGATATGAAATGAAAAGGGGAACCGCAGAAATTGACAATTAAAAACTGAGTTATAACTTGGATGGTGCAGTTTTAACAAAACTATTTAGCTCAAAGTTAGATTACAGAGTATAAAAACTAAAAAGATGTTGAGGAAACTGAGACAATAAAGAGTATTTTTCAAGAAACTTCTCTGTCAAAAGAGGCAAGGATAAGGCATTATGTAAGAAGAGGACTTTTATGTTTAAGATGATAGAGACTTAAACACATATTGGGAGGTGTAGAACTTAACAGACAGAGGAGGTGGGAGACAAAGATTTCTCAGTATGTTGCAATCACTAAAGACGCCAGAAGGGACGGAAGTGGAGGGGTGATCTTTGCAGAGAAAGGTACACTTTGCCCACAGAGATAGACAAAGACTAAGTGTGAATACCAGTAGTTTTGTGTATGGGGCAAGAAGCTGAAGTTCTCCCAGAGAGCCTTTATTTTCTTTCCGAAACAGAAAACCAGGAATGAGCGGCAGACTTTCAACAGAGTAATCAAGTACAAATTGTGAGCTGAAATAATCCTTAATTTCAAATCCTGAAATAGTTCATTTATCAACCTATCTGAATACAATGATAACTATTACAATGGGTAAAAGCATTCTATGTAGTCCCCATTTTTATAATAAAAGCATTAGAAATAGGCAAGACATCTTCATGGTTTCAGGGTGAACATCAAAAGAAATTTCATCACAAGCTGGTGACTGATTAGATGGACAGGAGCAACTGGGACAACTCTTCAAAGCAGAATCACCACATCAAAGGGACTAGCCATCAATGTTTACCCAAATCACTGTATACCCAAAGATGATCAGAACTTCTGAGATCTACCACACTAATAAAAATGACTTAATGACTAAACCAGAGTTTACTAATTAATAATAGGGTTATCACTTTCCAATGAATTTTCATGAAAGTCACATTCCTAGCCAGGACACCTATCTTTCTTTTAAAGAGTACTTAAGAAGCGGAGTTATTATTCAGTAACTATAAACTCAGAAAAAGAAAGGCAGAAATGGCATAATGGAGGAGAGTCCCTGAACTGCAGAAAAGCAAGATGAAGTATTAATACTCTGCCTCCCCAGTGACAGGACTCTACACAATCCCAGATTGAGTGCCTCTTATTAACAGCCGTTTTATCCTGCTTCTCTGATGCCAATCATCCCCATTTCTATAATACATTGTTTCCTTAAATGTTAAAATCAATGATTAGGATTCAGTGAAGTTGCTTTTCCTGTCCATCTATATGTTAACTTACATAGATTAAATCTTAGGAGTTCTAAAGGCACCTCACTGTCTCAGCATCCAAATTTGTCTTTAACAAAAACGTTAAAAGACCCTAGAGAAAAGGAAATGGGTTTGAAAGAGAAGCAAAGGTTAGGAAAAATAAAGAAAGAAATAAGCGAAGCGGGGAATCAGACAAAAAATAAATTAGGGTATTTTTCTTCTGATATATTAGGCTTTGAAATTATTTTAGGTTACATGAACATTGTAGTAGTTAAACTGGAATGGCTAAGACACTAAGAAATTTACACTCTGGTTTTTAAAGGAATGGTGGATGAAAAATAAAACCAAAATTTCCTATTCATCTCACTTCTGCTAATCATTTAAATAAAATATACTAGAATTCATCAGCATGTCTATAAAATTGGCACCACAGCATCTGGGGTCACCCTCTGATTTGTCATCCCTGTCAAAAACCACTAAAAAATTAACAAAGAACTTTCTAAATCAAATTACACCACATTCCACAATTTATTCTCCATTCACCTCCTAAATAAATGAAAAATAAGGCACAAGTTTTAAAGAACAAGAGTATTTTAGTGGCCTCCTATGACCAGATAACTGTTCCACACAGTTAATGCACTTAAAACTCCTGGCCCATAATCCAGGCACAGTAGCGCACACCAACTAGCATTACTCAAGAGACTGAGGCAAGAGGATCACTTGAGTTGAGGAGTTCAAGGCTAGCCTGAGTAATATCATGAGACTACATCTTTATTTAAAAAAAAAAAAAAAAAAAAAAAAAAAGAAAAACAAATTTTTTTTAAAAAAAAAAAAAAAAAAAAAAATGGCCCTAGACTTTGATACCTGAGACTTCACACGTCTTGTTCTCTTCGGCAGAATGTTCATTCTTGTGCCTGGCTCTGGGGAAGTGTGGGTATCAGTGCTGAGAACCTCAGGCTCCACTTTGTCTTTAAGATCTAAATTAGGCATCTGTACACCCTAAAAGATCAGAGAACAAAAACAGAGCAGGTTCACTGGTAAGAAATCATGCTTCAGAATCAGCGGAGAAATAATAAATTACCAAACGAATCCCTAAAACTACTAAAACTAGATTGCAATTATCTCTCAAACTGACCTACAGCTATCCCTATCAAAATCCTAGCAAGCTTTTTGTTGACGATATTGAAAGCTGATCCTAAAATTCATGGACAAATGTCAGTTGTTTAGAAGTTTTGGAAAAGAACAAAATAACTTACATTACTGAATATCAAAATTTACCATAAAGCTGTAGTACTCAAGACAATGTAGTACTGGTGTTAAGGTAGACATATAACCAATGCAATGAAACAGAGCCCAGAAATAAACCCACACATCTATGGTCAACTGATTTCTAACAAAGGTGGTAAGTTAAATCAGTGGGAAAAGGATAGCCTTTTAAACAAATGGTGCTGGTACAACTCAATATTCATATATTCCCTTCCCCACCAAAAAATAAACTTACATCTTTACCTCACACTACACCCACCAAAAAAAGGCCTCAAAATGCATCACTGATCAAAATATGAAAGCCAAAACTATGAAATTTCTATATTAAAGCAAAGGGGAAAATCTTTGTGACCTTGGAAAAGATTTCTTAAATATGACACCAAAAGTACAATCCATAAAAGGAAAAAAGAAATAAATGGTTCTTCAAAAAGTCACCATTACAAAAATGAAAAGATAAACCACAGAGTAGGAGAAAAGATCTACAAATCATTTACCTGATAAACAACTTGTACACAAACTGTATAACAAACTTACAAGTATAAGAAGACAAACAATACAATTTAAAAAAAAGATCTGATCAAGAACAAACTGCCATTCACAATTGCTACAAAGAGAATAAAATGCCTAGGAATACAACTAACAAAGGATGTAAAGGACCTCTTCAAGGAGAACTACAAACCACTGCTCAACAAAATAAGAGAGGACACAAACAGATGGAGAAACATTCCATGCTCACGGTTAGGAAGAATCAATATCATGAAAATGGCCATACTGCCCAAAGTAATTTATAGATTCAACGCTATCTCCATCAAGCTACCAATGACCTTCTTCACAGAACTGGAAAAAACCACCTTAAACTTCATATGGAACCAAAAGAGAGCCCGCATAGCCAAGTCAATTCTAAGCAAAAAGAACAAATCTGGAGGCAGCACGCTACCTGACTTCAAACTATACTACAAGGCTATAGTAATCAAAAAAACATGGTACTGGTACCAAAAAAGAGATACAGACCAATGGGACAGAACAGAGGCCTCGGAGGCAATGCCACACATCTACAACCATCTGATCTTTGACAAACCTGACAAAAAGAAGCAATGGGGAAAGGATTCCCTGTTCAATAAATGGTGTTGGGAAAACTAGCTAGCCATGTGCCCAGAGCAGAAACTGGACCCCTTCCTGACACCTTACACTAAAATTAACTCTAGATGGATTAAAGACTTAAACATAAGATCTAGCACTATAAAAACTCTATAAGAAAACCTAGGCAAAACCATTCAGGACATAGGCATAGGCAAGGACTTCATGACTAAAACACGAGAAGCATTGGCAACAAAAGCCAAAATAGACAAATGGGATCTAATTAAACTCCAAAGCTTCTGCACGGCAAAAGAAACAATCATTAGAGTGAACGAGCAACCAACGGAATGGGAAAAAATTTTTGCAATCTACCCATCTGACAAAGGGCTAATATCCAAAATCTACAAAGAACTAAAACAGATTTACAGGAAAAAAAAACAAACAAACCCATTCAAAAGCGGGCAAAGGATATGAACAGATACTTTTCAAAAGAAGACATATATGAGGCCAACAAACATATGAAAAAATGCTGGTCATCAGGGAAATGCAAATCACTGGTCATGAGGGAAATGCAAATCAAAACTAGGTTGAGATACCATCTCACGCCAGTTAGAATGGCAATCATTAAAAAATCTGGAGACAACAGATGCTGGAGAGGATGTGGAGAAATAGGAACACTTTTACACTGTTGGTGGGAGTGTAAATTAGTTCAACCATTGTGGAAGACAGTGTGGCGATACCTCAAGGACCTAGAAATAGAAATTCCATTTGACCCAGCAATCCCATTACTGGGTATATATCCAAAGGATTATAAATCGTTCTATTATAAGAATACATGCACATGTATGTTCATTGCAGCACTGTTTACAATAGCAAAGACTTGGAACCAACCCAAATGCCCATCAATGATAGACTGGACAGGGAAAATGTGGCACATATACACCATGGAATACTATCCAGCCATAAAAAACAATGAGTTCATGTCCTTTGTAGGGACATGGATGAACCTGGAAACCATCATTCTCAGCAAACTGACACAAGAACAGAAAATCAAACACCGTATGTTCTCACTCATAGGCGGGTGTTGAACAATGAGAACAGATGGACACAGGGAGAGGAGCATCACACACTGAGGTCTGTAGGGGGCTCTAGGGGAGGGACAGTGGGGGTTAGCAAGTTGGGGAGGGATAACATGGGGAGAAATACCAGATATAGGTGATGGGGATGGAGGCAGCAAACCACATTGCCATGTATGAACCTATGCAACAATCCTGCATGTTCTTCACATGTACCCCAGAACCTAAAATGCAATAAAATATATATATACATATATAATTTAAAAAAAAAAAAAAGATCTGTTCTGGAGGAAAGTATACTAGAAAAAAAAGAAGAAAAAAAAATCTGGACACTTCACCAAGATATACAAATGGCTAATATGAATATGAAAATATGCAGCCAGGTGCAGTGGCTCATGCCTATAATCCTAGCACTTTGGGAGGCAGAGGCAGGCGGATCACAAGGTCAGGAGTTCAAGACCAGCCTGACCAAAATGATGGTGATACCCTGTCTCTACTAAAAATACAAAAATTAGTCAGGCATGTAGGCACATGTCTGTAATACCAGCTACTCAGGAGGCTGAGGCAGAACTGCTTGAACAGAGGAGGTGGAGGTTGCAGTAAGCAGAGATCTCGCCACTTGCACTCCAGCCTGGGCGACAGAGCAGACTCCGTCACAAGAAAAAGAAAAAAGAAAATATGCACATCACTAGTCATTTGAGAAATGCAAATTAAAACCACAATAAGATATCACTATACAACCAACCAGAATGACTATAATTTTAAAAAACTGACAATACCAAGTGTTGGCCACGATGTAGAAAAACTGGAAGCATCTATATTACTGGTGGGAAAGTAAATGATTCAGCTACTTTGGAAAACAAATTGGCAGCTCTTAAAAATTTACACACGCCAGGCACAGTGTGGCTCACGCCTATAATCCCAGCACTTTGGGAGACAAAGGTGGGTGGATCGCTTGAGGTCAAGAGTTCCAGACAAGCCTTGCCAACATGGTGAAACACTGTCTCTACTAAAAATACAAAAATTAGCTGGGCATGGTGGCATGCACCTGTAGTACCAACTACTCTACTTAGGAGGCTAAGGTAGGAGAATCGCTTGAACCCAGGAGGCAGAGGTTGCAGCGAGCCGAGATTGCACCACTGCACTCCAGCCTGGGCAACAGAGCAAGACTCTGTCTCAAAAAAAAAAAAAAATTTACACATAAACTTAACATATAACCCAGTGATTCCACTCTCAAGTATCTACCCAAGAGAAATAAAAACGTATGTCCACACAAAGACTTGTATATGAACTTTCATAGTATTCCTAATAGCCATAAACTGGAAACAATTTAAATATCCTGGTAAGTGGATAAACAAAATATGGCATATCCATGCAGTGGAATATTATTCAGCCATAAAAATGAAGTACTGACACATGCTATAATGTGGCTGAATTTTTTTTTTTTTTTTTGAGACAGGGTCTTACTCTGTCACCCAGGCTGGAGTGCAGTGGCACAATCTCAGCTTACTGCAACCTCTGTCTCCCAGGCTGAAGCAATCCTCCCACCTCAGTCTCTGGAGTAGCTGGGTCCACAGGCACAGACCACATCTGGCTAATTTTTTAAACTTTTAGTAGAGACAGGGTTTCACCATGATGCTCAGACTGGTCTCAAACTCCTGGCCTCAAGCAATCCACCCACCTCAGCCTCCCATAGTGATGGCATTAAAGGTATTAGCCACCACACCCAGCCAACACAGCTGAACTCTGAAAACATTAGGCTAAGTGAAAAAAGCCAGACACAAAATCATATTGTATGATTACACCTAGGTGAAATTTCTAGAAAAGACAAAACTATAGAGCCAGAAAAACAGGTTAGGAATTGCCTGTGTGTGGTAGTAGAACAGAAACCAGCTACAAATGAACAATACAATTCTGGGGGCTAGTGGAAGTGCTCTAAAATTGGAATATAGTGATTGCTGCATAAATGTAGAAATTTCTTAAAGCTTACTGACTGTACACCCACAAAGGGTGAATTCTATGGTATATAAATTATACCTAATAAAGCTGTTTTTAAAAAATACATGAAACAAACAGGAGGACTTTTTCAAAAACTTTCACTCATAAAGGTTTATTTTAAATAAATAAAAAAACACTCTTCATTCCCATTATCCTTTATCTTGCAAACCACCAAAAATAGCTATGATTTTTACACTATGACATACACTTTGCTTCCCCAAATTTTGGTGCCTGCTAACTTGGGTTAAACATAGTCTAAAGTTTATACTTGAGCAAACTGGATTTATCAACTTTTTCTAAAAAGAATGATGCATCTCACCATAAGGCTCACACCAGATTGGAAAAGTTCGTATGGGTAGAGAATTCTTTCATAATGTGACTTCAAAAGAGACCCAGTTCCTTTTCCTGGCAGATATCCCAAGCGACTACCCACTTTAGACCATTTCTTCTCTTTGGTGACCATTTCAAAACCTCCTTTGCTGGCAACAATCTGAAAAGCAAGTAAAAAGTTTCTTAGAGAAAAAAAGTAGATTCAAGCATCCTGACTCTAAGTCTGTCTACTAAATAGAAAAATTATTCTGGGCTTAAATTTCAAATTTTCCTTTCAATGAGTGTCTAACCAAACTGACATCTGTCAACATTTAGAGTAAGAAATAGAAACAATGATTTACAGAGGTTTAAAATTTAATTAATATTATTATGCCTACCTTCAAACCAAGCATTTAAAAATATTTAATGAATTAATACTTTGTATAGCATGCACTGTGAGAAAACTAAACACACGTATAAAACTTATGTACTCAAGGAACTCACAATTTAAATAAGAATAAAAACAGACAAAAAATAGACATGAAAATGTTATATAATACAAAATAAACATAAATCCTGAAATTAGAAATACCAAGTAACTTACAGAACTTAAAAATGTCAATCAAACCATGAATATAAAGAACAGTTTTGAAAAACAGGCTATAATTTTTCAAACGGACAAGAGTTTTATATGGAAGATTATGAAGGAACACTGAGGAAAGGTTAGACTGAAGTAGATTTACTGATACGGAGTACAGAATATATTAAGGTAAAAAATGAGATAAATTGGCTAACTTGGCTGAATGTTCACATCAAGCCAGGCACTATACGGAACATGTTTCCAAGCTCCTTAACGTCCAGAAGCTGTTATTATACATCTCATATTCTAAAATACAGTCATGCGCTGCATAACATTTTGGTCAAATATAGACCACATAGACAGCGCTCCCATAAGATCATACTACCATATTATTACTGCACCTTTGTGTTTAGATGCATACACAAATGTATTACCATTGTGTTACACTGCCTACAGTATTCAGTACAGTAACAGGATGTACAGCTTTGTAGCCTAGGAGCAACAGGCTATACCACATAGCGTAGGTGTACAGTAGGCCATCCCATCTAGGTTTGTATAAGTACCTTCAATGATGTTTGCACAATAATGAAATGGCCATATTTTTCAAACATATCCCTATCATTAAGTGACACAATTGTACAGGCAGTTTTCAATTTCACTGAGAATAAAGGAGACTCTGACACAGTATTTGAACTCAGTTTCTCCTATTTGAATACATGCTATTATATCTTACTACATAAAAAAAAGTTAAAGCCAGGCACAGTGGCTCATATCTGTAATTCTAGCACTTTGGGAGGCCAAGACAGGAGAACTGCTTGAGCCCAGGAGTTCCAAACCAGCCTGGGTAATATAGTAAGACCTCCATCTCTACAAAAAATAATTAAAAATTAGCTGAGCAGGTTAGGCAGGGTGGCTCATGCCTGTAATCCAGGACTTTGGAAGGCAGAGGTGGGCAAACAGCCTGAGATCAGGAGTTCAAGACCAGCCTGGGCAACATAGTGAAACCCCGTCTCTTCTTTAAAAAAAAAAAAAAAAGAAAATATTGAACTCGAATTGGAAGAGGCGAGTCGGGCCTCAAAATGGAGGTAAAACTGCTGCCCGGTTGCCCCCAGCCTGACTCCGGCCGTCACCGTCGGGGGGAAGAGGACCATAATCCAAAGGAACCAGAGCAGTTGAGAAAACTGTTTACTATTGGTCTGAGCTTTGAAACTACAGATGATCGTTTAAGAGACCATTTTGAGAAATGGGGCACACTTACAGATTGTGTGATAATGACATCCCCAAACCAAACGTTCCAGGGGCTTTGGTTTTGTGACTTATTCTTGTGTTGAGGTGGATGCAGCAATGTGTGCTCGACCACACAAGGTTGATGGGCGTGTAGTTGAACCAAAGAAAGCTGTTTCTAGAAAGGATTCTGTAAAGCCTGGCGCCCATCTAACAGTGAAGACAATTTTTGTTGGTGGTATTAAAGAAGATACGGAAGAGTGTAATTTGAGAGACTACTTTGAAAAGTATGGCAAGATTGAAACCATAGAAGTTATGGAAGACAGGCAGAGTGGAAAAAAGAAAGGATTTGCTTTTGTAACTTTTGATGATCATGATACAGTTGATAAAATTATTGTTCAGAAATACCAAACTATTAATGGGCATAATTGTGAAGTGAAAAAGGCCCTTTCTAAACAAGAGATGCAGTCTTCTGGATCACAGAGAGGTCGTGGAGGTGGATCTGGCAATTTTATGGGTCGCAGAGGAAACTTTGGAGGTGGTGGAGGTAATTTTGGCCATGGTGGAAACTTTGGTGGAAGAGAAGGTTATAGTGGTGGAGGTGGTGGCAGCAGAGGCAGTTATGGAGGAGGTGATGGTGGATATAATGGATTTGGTGCTAGTGGCAACTATGGCGGGGGTCCTGGTTATAGTAGTAGAGGGGGCTATGGTGGTGGTGGACCAGGATATGGAAACCAAGGTGGTGGACATGGTGGTGGTGGTGGTGGAGGACATGATGGTTACAATGAAGGAGGAAATTTTGGCGGTGGTAACTATGGTGGTGGTGGGAACTATAATGATTTTGGAAATTATAGTGGACAAGTGGACAAGAGCAATCAAATTATGGACCCATGATAGGGGGCAGTTTTGGTGGAAGAAACTCGGGCAGTCCCTATGGTGGTGGTTATGGATCTGGTGGTGGAAGTGGTGGATATGGTGGCAGAAGGTTCTAAAAGCAGCAGAAAAGGGCTACAGTTCTTAGCAGGAGAGAGAGCGAGGAGCTGTCAGGAAAGCTGCAGGTTACTTTGAAACAGTCGTCCCAAATGAATTAGAGGAACTGTAAAAATCTGCCACAGAAGGAGCGATGACCCATAGTCAGAAAGGTTACTGCAGCTTAAACAAGAAACCCTTCTTGTTCAGGACTGTCATAGCCACAGTTTGCAAAAAGTGCTGCTATTGATTAATGCAATGTAGTGTCAATTAGATGTACATTCCTGAGGTCTTTTATCTGTTGAGCACCAGGAGCTCACCAACTGAGGTAAGCGGCCGCCCGACTCCTGAGGTCTTTTATCTGTTGCAGCTTTGTCTTTTTCTTTTTCTTTTCATTACATCAGGTATATTGCCCTGTAAATTGTGATAGTGGTACCAGGCATAAAAAATTAAGGAATTTTTAACTTTTCAAAAAAAAAAAAAACACAAAAAATTAGCCAGGCATGGTGGCACACACCTATAATCCCAGCTACTCAGGAGGCTGAGGCCCAAGAATCACTTCAACCCAGGAGGCAGAGGCAGTAGTGAGCTGAGATTGTCCCATGCACTCTAATCTGGGCAACAGAGTGGGACTCCAGCTCTAAAAAAAAAAAAAAAAAAAAGAGGTGCACCTATAGATCCAGCTACTTGGGAGGCCAAGGCACAGGAGAGCACAGGAGATCAAGGCTACAGTGAGCCATGATCATACCACTGCACTCCAGTGTGGGTAATCCTGTCTCAAGTGACCCTGTCTCAAAAAACAGAAAAAAAAAATAGTTAAAAGTTAAACATAAAATTACCATATGATCCTACAATTTCACTTCTAGGTATACACTCAAAGAACTGAAAGGAGGGACTCAAACAGATTCTTGCACACCAATGTTCACAGCAGCATTATTCTTGAGCATCAAAACAGAACTAACTCAAAAGTTTATCAACAGATAAGTGAATAAACAAAATGTAGTATAATAAACATACAATGGAATATTATTCTGCCTTAAAAAGAAAATTCTGAGACATGCCAAACATGAATTTTGAAAATATTGTAAGTAAAATAAGCCAGACACAAAATGATGACTACTGTGTAATTCCATTTATATAAGGTACATAGAGTAAGCAAATTCATAGAGACAGAAAGCATAACAGAAGTTACCAAGGGTGGTGGAAGGGAGGAAGTCCTGGAACTACACAGTGGTGATAACTGTACAACACTGTAAGTACACTTAATGCCACTGAACTGTGTATTTTTAAATGTTGATGTTATATGTACTACAATTTTTTTTAAAAAGACTATGAGGGCCAGGCGCAATGGCTCATGCCTGTAATCCCAGCACTTTGGGAGGCCGAGGCAGGCGGATCATGAGGTCAAGAGATCGAGACCATCCTGGCCAACATGGTGAAACCCCGTCTCTACTAAAAGTACAAAAAGTTAGCCGGGCATGGTGGTGCATGCCTGTCCCAGCTACTCGGGAGGCTGAGGCAAAAGAATTGCCTGAAACCAGAAAACAGAAGTTGCAGTGAGATGGGATCACTCCACTGCACTCTAGCCTGGCAACAGAGCGAGACTGTGTCTCAAAAAAAAAAAAAAAAGACTACACGAAGACTCTGGAGCCAGACTTGCCAGTATTCAAATTCTAGTTCTGTCACTTAATAGTTATATGACCTTGGTCAGGCGTGGTAGGGCTCATGTCTGTAATCCCAGAGCTTTGGGAAGCTGAGGCAGGCAGATCAACTGAGGGCAGGAGTTTGAGACCAGTCTGGCCAATAAGGTGAAACCTCGTCTCTACTAAAAATACCAAAAATTAGCCAAGGGTAGTGGTGTGCGCCTGTAGTCCCAGCTACTAAGGAGGCTGAGGAAGGAGAATCGTTTGAACCTGGGAGGAGAAGGCTACCATGAGCCAGATCATGCCACTGAACTCCAGCCTGGGCAATAGCAACACCCTGTCTCAAAAAAAAAAAATAGTTATATGACCTTGCCAAAGTTAAGTAATTTGCAATTCAATTTCCTCACCATCATTAAAATGGTAACAACAGTGCCTACACCTCCTTATGAGGCTATTGTGAGGACAAATAAAATAAAACATGAAAAGCACCAGGATAAAGTACTATACCAATGTTGCTGTATTATAAATGTCTGTGAGTGTGAACAAATGGAGGGAGAGGGTACATGTACTGAAATTAAGCGAAGAAAATGTTTTAACTCTTGTGTTGGGATATTATAAACAAAAATGAACCTATGGCCAAAGTACAATTTTCCTCTAGTGAACTATCTGAAAGCTTGGTAGAAACACTAATTCATATGCATGAGAGTTGAACACATCTCTTTAGTTCTTTAGCTCCTCTTATCGCATCCTCAGAGAAGCCCTCTCTGTTAAAAGAATCAACCAGGGGAAAATTATACAGAGAAAAAAATTATTTTTCAAAGCTAATGGTAAAGAGAAAGACACAATGAAACTGGTTTCAATAGAGGGCTGTCTGGAAGCAACTGGATAGATTAGAGTGCCCTTAATTCAACACATATCTTTCCAATGCTTCTATACTGCCAGCTACTATTCTAGGTACCTGAGATACATTTATAAATAAAACAAAGATCTTTGTCCTCATGGAGGTTACATTCTAGTGGAGGAAGACAGACAATAAACAATGAACATAATATATAAATTCCAAAGTAATACTGAAGAAGAAATTAAAAAGCAGTCAAGGGGCCTCCAAATAACAGAGTAAGGGTAAATTAAAGCATTAAACGATCACAAAAAGGCTTATTATAAGGATGAAATTTGAGCAAAGTCTTGAAGGGAGTGAAGTAGTTAACCAGCAGATATAAAGCGAACAGACAATGCAAAGGCTCTAAGTCAGAAGCATACCAAGAGTGTTTGAGAAAAATAAGGAAGCCAGTGTGGCTGAAGCAAAGTGAACAAAGGAGGAGAAGAAATAAAGAAACTCGGGGAGGCAAAAGATGCCTTCACAATCTTTACTATCCCATACAATAATCACTTTTACATAATAATCTGCTTTGTATTGAAAGCATTTCAAGCTAAATTTCCATTAGTTATGATATATCTGCATGGATCCAGTCATGATATCCCACTCAGTTCTGGTAATTAGTAGCAGTCAGGATATGGCCATGACAAAGGAATAAACTATCTCACATAGAAAACAAAACCATTACTTAGGCTCCATGTATACAATACTCTAACAATCTAACCAAAAAACACACAAAACCTTATTCCTGTTTTTCTTCAGCTGACAGATTCAAGGATTATCATGCATAATTTTAAAATATAAACCAGGGCACGGTGGCTCATGCCTATAATCCCAGCACATTGGGGGGCTGACACGAGCGGATCACTTGAGGTCAGGAGTTCAAAACCCGCCTGGCCAACATGGTGAAACCCTGTCTCTACTAAAAGTACAAAAATTAGCCAGGCATGCTGGCAGGCACCTGTAATCCCAGTTACTTGGGAGGCTGAAGCAGGAGAATCACTTGAACCTGGGAGATGGGGGTTGCTGTGAGCTGGGATCAGGACACTGCACTCCAGCCTGGGCAACAGAGTGAGACTCTGTCTCAAAAACAAATAAATAAAAATAAAATATAAAATATAAACCATTTATTCCAAACATTTGCCATGTACTACATCACAGCATTGTCACCAGAAGTATCACTATGAACCCTGCTCTATAAAAAGACATATGGCATGCACTTGAACTGAACACAATGAAGACAAGCCCTTTATCAAAACTTGACCAAAAAGTAATATCACTCAAGACCAAAATGGCTGGGAATAGAGACAGTTTTAACATACCTAAAGAACAGTCTTCTTCTTAAAATATCCCTCTAAAAACTCCAGTAGAAAGACCAGAAAGAAACAAAAAGGAATCCTCTCAAGCAGTCAAATAGACCAAAAAAAGGAACCAAATACAAACAAATGTAAACAATATTTTGAAGCTAGTGATATCTAACAAGCCAAAACAATAACAAAAACAGACAAATCAGGTGTACTTTTAAACTACAAGTTTAAAACTAAGTGCCCTGCAACAGAGAAAAGCCAGAGAAGCTTTTGCAACATAGCAGCTGGAAAGGCTTAAGAGGACGCCCTTCCTCCCTTTTCTAAAAAAAGGCTTAAGAAGTGAAAGCAGCAGTACCTCTAAAATTAAGGGTGGCAGTGCAGCGAGAATGAGATTGTGAAGACCTGTGTAAAAGCAGTTAGACCTCCTCCAGGCAACTATCCCTCTCTAGCCCCAGCAGAAAACTGGAGATTTACTCTCAGCAAAGTTTGAACAGAAGGGATGCTGAACTAAGAAAGCAATAGGTAAGTAAATTAGAGGACCAGCCTAACAAGTCTAACATCTAACTAATAAAGAGTCCAGAAGAAGAGAAAAAATAATAAACTTATCAAAGAATACAGGAAAAATAAGAAGAATTGGAAGAAATGAGTTATCAGATAAGAAAGGTTATTGAGAGCCATAAAAACAGTGAATGAAAATAAACATATACCAATACATATCACTGTGAAATTTCAAAGCCCTGGGAAGAAAGATAAGATCTTAAATCTTCAGGGAAAATAAAAGTCACACACAAACACACACACACACAAAAAAAAACAAGAAATAATATAGCAACATTCTCACCAAGACAATGGAGTAAAAGCTTTCCAAATACTACAGTAAAATGATTTACAATCTAGACTTTTAAACCCCACCAAACTACTAAAAAAGTATAAGGGCAGAACATTTTTACACAAGCAAGAAGTCCTAAAAAATTTACATCCCACTACTATCTTTCTCATGAAACTAGCAGAAGAAATGTTTCACCAAAGTGAGAGTAAACCAAGTAAAAGGAAGACTTGCAACAAGAGGCCAAGGAATTCCCAGAATGACAGCAATAAAAGGAAGTTCCAGACTGACAGCTGAACTTTTTAAAAAAACAACCAGTCAAGATTTGAGGTAAAAAAGACTTCAGGAAGAATGGCTCCAAGAAAATAAAGCTGACAGATTATCTGATGGGTAGAAGCATAATGAGCAATGTATACTTCTGCTGGAAAGTTTGAAAATATGTTTTTCACAATATTAATTTTAGATTAATAAAAAATTAACGTAACTACAATAGAAAGGGAGAGGAACATAAAGTATGGGAGGACTGAAGATCTCTTACACCCATTCTCCATCTTTAACAGTAGGAAATCGGTATATAATATTTAAAGCTGAGAAAAGAAAAAATAGCATACTGAGCTTATTGTTTGGAAATATGAAGATCAAAATCAGAAACCACTAAAGAACTGAAAATGATTAGTTCTGGGGAGTGAGAATGGGGGTGGAGATGAAGGGAGATGCTGATTTTCATTTTTAGCCGCCTTCTTTTTTTTCTCTTTTTTTTTTTTTTTTTAAGAAACAGGGTCTTACTCTGTAGCTCAGGTGGTGCAATCAGAGGTATCATAGCCTCAAACTCCTGGACTCAAGCAATCCTCCAGCTTCAGCTTCTCGAGTAGGTGCGACTTTAGGCATGTGCCACCACAATCAGGTAATCTTTTAAAATTGTTTTGTAGAGACATGGTCTCCCTATGTCTAGACCAGGAGGCTGGTCTAGAACTCCTGTACTCAAATGATCCTCCTACCTTGGCCTCCCAAAGTGGTGGGATTACAAGTGTGAGTCCACCATACCCAGCCGAAGCCTTGTTTTTTAAAAGTGTACTACTTTGGCTAGATTGAATGCTTCTTGCTGAAGTGGTTATAAAAACAGTAATTAGCAATATAGAAGTCCGTTAAATTACAGGCATTCCAAGTAATACTTTTTTTTTTGAGATGGAGTCTCACTCTGTCGCCAGGATGGAGTGCAGTGGTGCGATCGAGGCTCACCAAAACCTCCACCTCCAGGATTCAAGCGATTCTCCTGCCTCAGCCTCCTGAGTAGCTGGTATCACAGGCGCAAGTCACCACGCCTAGCTAATTTTTGTATTTTTAGTAGAAACGGTTTTCACCATATTAGCCAGTTCAAGATTATGATCTTGAACTCATGATCCACCCGCCTCAGCCTCCCAAAGTGCTGGGATTACAGGCATGAGCCAGTGCGCCTGGCCTAGTAATACTTTTTATTATCAAAAACAATAGGGAGAAAGACGTGATTTAATCAAAACAGGGAAACCATCACATTGACGACTTAATGACTCAGAAGACTGAAAATTTGCTTCCCATTAAAATGCAATGGGAATCATAGTATTTTTAAATCATACCCATAAAAAACAAACTCAATAGACGCCAGTAAACTGTCAGCCAAAAATAAACTTTTTTTAAAAAAAGAAAGGACAACACTAACAACCTTAAAACATATGAACTCTCAGTATTTTCTGCAGTTTTCAGCCCAAGCCTCTTGCTAGAATAAAATGTCATAATGAAATAAATAGTCACCCATTGATAAGGGTCAGAATAAATTACTTTTATGAAGTATTGACTGGGAGGGAGATGAAAGAACCCACTACAGTGCTACAAAAATGTTTTGTATCAGCCGGGTGCAGCGGCTCACGCCTGTAATCCCAGCACTTTGGGAGGTCGAGGCAGGCGGATCACAAGACCAGGTGTTCAAGACCAGCCTGGCCAACATGGTGAAACCCTGTCCCTACTAAACAGAAAAAGTAGCCAGGTGTGGTGAAGAATCCCAGCTACTTGGGAGGCTGAAGCTGGAGAATCGCCAGAACCCTGGAGGTGGAGGCTGCAGTGAGCTGAGACCTCGCCATTGCACTCCAGCCTGGGCAACAGAGCAAGACTCCATCTCAAAAACAAAAAAAAAAGTTATGTATCTTGATCTGGGTGATGGCTACAAAACAGGTATATACATATATGAACATTTATCGAACTGCACACTTAAATTTGTGCATTCCACTGTAAGTTACACTTCAATATAAAAGAAAAAAGTTAATATGAGAAGCAGAAATCTCACAATGACATTTAGGGAACAAAAGTATTATAAACTAAATAACTACAAATAGAAGTTTGTCTGCCTTTTAGCTTTAAATCTGTTTTGCAAACGTTCTCACAGGTTAGGGGAAAGAGATGTCCATGAGGACTTGAAAAACCCCACAAAAGACAGGACTCCAATAAACCCTCAGATAAGCACACTTAACCTTTAATCACAACATATTTTCAGTAAGTTTTTCAAATATTTCATTCTTTTTTTTTTTTTTTAAAGATGGGGTTTTACCATGTTGGCCAGGCTGGTCTTGAACTCCTGACCTCAGGTGATCCACCCACCTCAGCCTCCCAAAGTGCTAGGATTATAGGCATGAGCCACCGCGCCTGGATTTTTTTCCGAATATTTCAATAAAGTATACTTTATTAGTAGTATGAACCTTAAAAGGAAATGGGATTCTCAAGATGGTGTTAAACAGTCTGAATGACAAATGTTGTAAGGAGAATTGTAAACAACTAAGTATTCAGACTAGGTTACCTCTAAAAGCCCTTTCCTGATTTTGAAATTCTGTAACTTTAGAAAATCAGAAAAATGTGGCCGGGCTCAGTGGCTCATGCCTGTAATCCCAGCACTTTGAGAGGGTGAGATGCGCAATCACTTGAGGTCAGGAGTTCTTGACCAGCTTGGCCAACATGGTGAAACTCTGTCTCTACTAAAAATACAAAAATTAGCCAGGCATGGCGGCACATGCTTGTAGTCCCAGCTGCTGCAGAGACTGAGTCAGGAGAATCACTTGAACCCAGGAGGCAGGAGGTTACAGTAAGCTGAGATCATGCTACTGCACTCTAGCCTGGGCAACAGAGGAAGACACTGTCTCAAAAAAAAAAAAGAAGAAAAGAAAACCAAATAATGCAATTTAACTTACCATCAGATTAAACCTGAGGTTTATCTTTTAATTGAAAAATCACTGATACCAAAAGTTTCAATTTAATAGATTACTACTTACACAATTAATAAATACTCTAGTAAATTCCTTAGGGTATTTATGAAAATAAGAAATAAAAATGTGGCCGGGCACAGTGGCTCACACCTGTAATCCCAACACTTTGGGAGGCCAAGGTGGGTAGATCATTTGAGGTCAGGAGTTCAAGACCAGCCCGGCCAATGTGGTAAAACCCCATCTCTACTAAAAACACAAAAATTAGCCAGGTGTGGTGGCATGCACCTGTAATCCCAGCCCCATCTACTCAGGAGGCTGAGGTATGAGAATCGCTTGAATCTGGGAGGTGGAGGTTGCAGTGAGCCAAGATTGTGCCACTGCACTCCAATCTGGGCAACAAAGTGAGACTTTCTAAAAAAAATCAAAAGTGGAAAGAGCTTCATTAAAGAGTACCACAACATGTTGTTATTAATGATAAAATAAATTTTGAGGGCCAGGCGTGGTGGCTGACTCCTGTGATCCCAGCACTTTGGGAAGCTGAGGCAGGTGTTATCACCTGAGGTTGGGAGTTCGAGACCAGCCTGACCAACATCGAGAAACCCCATCTCTACTAAAAATACAAAATTACCCAGGTGTGGTGGGACATGCCTGTAATCCCAGCTACTCGAGAGGCTGAGGCAGGAGAATCGCTTGAACCCAAGAGGCGGAGGTTGCAGTGAGCCGAGATTGTGCCATTGCACTCTATCCTGGGCAACAAGAGTGAAACTCCGACTCAAAAAAATAAATAATAATTATTATTATTATTTTTGAAAAACAAATTTTTTTTTTGAGACAGAGTATCACTTTTGTTGCCAGGCTGGAGTGCAGTGGTGCTATCTCAAGCCCACTGCAATCTCTGCCTCCTGGTTTCAAGCAACTTCCTGCTCGAAACTTCCAAGTAGCTGGGATTACAGGTGCCTACCACCACACCCAGCTAATTTTTGTATTTTTAGTAGAGACAAGTTTTCATCATGTTGGCCAGGCTGGTGTTGAACTCTTGACCTCAGGTGATCCACCCATCTCAGCCTTCCAAAGTGCTGGGATTACAGGTGTAAGCCACTGCCCCTGGCCAATTTTTGAATTTTTTGTATTTTATTCAAGTAACAGTCAAACACATTCAGAATCTTAAACAGCAACATATAGCAGAATGTAATAAGTAAGTTCTGACTGAATAAAAACGTCAAAATAAAGTTCTTAAAACAAATTTTTATCCTAATGGTTCCCTGTAAGAAACCCACCCCTCAAATTTAGCATAATTTGTTCTTGAGTACCATAGGTTTTCATATAACTACAGTAGACCACTCTTGGCACAGTGCTTACTAACATCATTACCTGACTAAGTCTCAAGCTGTATTTTAGCATTAGACCATACTTCCCAAATTTTTTGGCAAGAGAATTCTGACCTGACACTAATTTTAAAACGTTATCATAAAAGATAACTTAAATATGATTATTCTAACATTTTTTTTTGGAGACAGGGTCTTGCTCTGTCACCCAGGCTGAAATGCAGTAGAGTGATGATGGTTCACTGCAGTCTTTACCTCCCGGCTCAAGAGATCCTCCTGCCTTAGCCTCCTGATTAGCTAGGACTCTAGGGGTCCACCACCATGCCCAGATTATTTATTTTTTAATTTTTTGTAGAGACAGAGTCTCACTATGTTGCCCAGGCTGGTCTTGAACTCCTAGGTTCAAGCAATCCTTCCACCTCAGCCTCCCAAAGTGCTGGGATTATAGGCATGAACCACCACACATGGCTGATTACTCTTACTTTTTTCCTTGAAAGTGAAATCTTCCAAAATTAACTCTGCAATTTAAATGAGAATAAATTTCTATTTCAAAATAGTATATAAATTGTAAGATATGGAAGGCCACAAAAAGATGCTGCTTTGTGAAATTTCTCAGATAATTAAGCAATAATAAATTTGTATTATTGTATTAACAAAACATATTTCAATGTTATTTAATCTCAGCTTGCAGGTCAGTTAGTTTTCTTCACATTAGGGAATATAATGTTAAAAAGTGAACACAATTTGGGCGAAAACTTATCTAAACTCTTCACCCTTAAGTTTCTGAGCTATTGTTCATCCTACCCAACAATGCTGGCCTCAATTAGCCATTAACACTACCTATAGGTATTAACAAAACTAATGTATACTACACATAAGAATGGTGAGTAGCATGAGTCCCTTTATTTTATTTATTTATTTTTTTTGAGACAGAGTCTCACTCCGTCACCAGGCGCCAGGCTGGAGAGCAGTGGCATAATCACAGCTCACTGCCGCCTTGACTTTCCGGACTCATGTGATCCTCCCACCTTAGCCTCCTGAGTGGTTGAGACTACAGGTGTGTACCACCATGCCCGATAACTTTTTCGTATTTTTAGCAGAGTCAGGTTTTCACTATGTTGCCAGGCTAGTCTCTTAACTCCTAGGCTCAAGTGATCCTCCCACCTCAACCTCCTAAAGTGCTCAGATGACAGGCGTGAGCCACTGTGCCTGGCCCAAATTTTCAATTAAGTAACAACAACAACAACAAAAGATGACAAGCTCAACATAGAACATTGTACACTCAGCACAATATAATATTAGCAGGCTATAGTCATTTATTTTGCATATTGTATATCACAGAGCCTGATAAATATTAGTGTTTAGTGATTAAATATTAATCTAATTAACAAATATAAAGTAACTTTTAAAGATAACTTTGAGGTCTGTCATTTCCATTTATTCAAATGTGCATTTCATTTTTTTTTTT